TCTAATGAAGGACTATTAGCCCATCTAATGAAGGACTGTTAGCCCATCTAATGAAGGACTGTTAGCCCATCTAATGAAGGACTATTAGACCATCTGTTAGACCATCTAATGAAGGACTGTTAGCCCATCTAATGAAGGACTGTTAGCCCATCTATTGAAGGACTGTTAGCCCATCTAATGAAGGACTGTTAGACCATCTAATGAAGGACTGTTAGACAATCTAATGAAGGACTATTAGACCATCTAATGAAGGACTGTTAGCCCATCTAATGAAGGACTGTTAGACCATCTAATGAAGGACTATTAGCCCATCTAATGAAGGACTGTTAGCCCATCTAATGAAGGACTGTTAGACCATCTAATGAAGGACTATTAGACCATCTGTTAGACCATCTAATGAAGGACTGTTAGCCCATCTAATGAAGGACTATTAGACCATCTGTTAGACCATCTAATGAAGGACTGTTAGCCCATCTAATGAAGGACTATTAGCCCATCTAATGAAGGACTATTAGACCATCTAATGAAGGACTGTTAGACCATCTAATGAAGGACTGTTAGCCCATCTAATGAAGGACTGTTAGACCATCTAATGAAGGACTGTTAGACGATCTAATGAAGGACTATTAGACCATCTAATGAAGGACTATTAGACCATCTAATGAAGGACTGTTAGCCCATCTAATGAAGGACTGTTAGCCCATCTAATGAAGGACTGTTAGCCCATCTAATGAAGGACTGTTAGACCATCTAATGAAGGACTATTAGACGATCTAATGAAGGACTATTAGACCATCTAATGAAGGACTGTTAGCCCATCTAATGAAGGACTGTTAGCCCATCTAATGAAGGACTGTTAGACCATCTAATGAAGGACTGTTGGCCCATCTAATGAAGGACTGTTAGACCATCTAATGAAGGACTGTTAGACGATCTAATGAAGGACTATTAGACCATCTAATGAAGGACTGTTAGCCCATCTAATGAAGGACTATTAGACCATCTAATGAAGGACTGTTAGACGATCTAATGAAGGACTGTTAGACCATCTAATGAAGGACTGTTAGCCCATCTAATGAAGGACTGTTAGCCCATATAATGAAGGACTGTTAGCCCATCTAATGAAGGACTGTTAGACCATCTAATGAAGGACTGTTAGACCATCTAATGAAGGACTGTTAGCCCATCTAATGAAGGACTGTTAGACCATCTAATGAAGGACTGTTAGACCATCTAATGAAGGACTGTTAGACCATCTAATGAAGGACTGTTAGACCATCTAATGAAGGACTGTTAGCCCATCTAATGAAGGACTGTTAGACGATCTAATGAAGGACTGTTAGCCCATCTAATGAAGGACTGTTAGCCCATCTAATGAAGGACTGTTAGCCCATCTAATGAAGGACTGTTAGACCATCTAATGAAGGACTGTTAGACCATCTAATGAAGGACTGTTAGACGATCTAATGAAGGACTATTAGCCCATCTAATGGAGGACTGTTAGCCCATCTAATGGAGGACTGTTAGCCCATATAATGAAGGACTGTTAGCCCATCTAATGAAGGACTATTAGCCCATCTAATGAAGGACTATTAGCCCATCTAATGAAGGACTATTAGCCCATCTAATGAAGGACTATTAGCCCATCTAATGAAGGACTGTTAGACCATCTAATGAAGGACTATTAGCCCATCTAATGAAGGACTTTTAGTCCATCTAATGAAGGACTGTTAGCCCATCTAATGAAGGACTGTTAGCCCATCTAATGAAGGACTGTTAGACCATCTAATGAAGGACTGTTAGCCCATCTAATGAAGGACTGTTAGCCCATCTAATGAAGGACTGTTAGACCATCTAATGAAGGACTGTTAGACCATCTAATGAAGGACTGTTAGCCCATCTAATGAAGGACTGTTAGCCCATCTAATGAAGGACTGTTAGACCATCTAATGAAGGACTATTAGACCATCTGTTAGACCATCTAATGAAGGACTGTTAGCCCATCTAATGAAGGACTGTTAGCCCATCTAATGAAGGACTGTTAGCCCATCTAATGAAGGACTGTTAGCCCATCTAATGAAGGACTGTTAGACCATCTAATGAAGGACTGTTAGACAATCTAATGAAGGACTATTAGACCATCTAATGAAGGACTGTTAGCCCATCTAATGAAGGACTGTTAGACCATCTAATGAAGGACTATTAGCCCATCTAATGAAGGACTGTTAGCCCATCTAATGAAGGACTGTTAGACCATCTAATGAAGGACTATTAGACCATCTGTTAGACCATCTAATGAAGGACTGTTAGCCCATCTAATGAAGGACTGTTAGCCCATCTAATGAAGGACTATTAGACCATCTGTTAGACCATCTAATGAAGGACTGTTAGCCCATCTAATGAAGGACTATTAGCCCATCTAATGAAGGACTATTAGACCATCTAATGAAGGACTGTTAGACCATCTAATGAAGGACTGTTAGCCCATCTAATGAAGGACTGTTAGACCATCTAATGAAGGACTGTTAGACCATCTAATGAAGGACTGTTAGACCATCTAATGAAGGACTGTAAGACCATCAAATGAAGGACTGTTAGACCATCTAATGAAGGACTATTAGCCCATCTAATGAAGGACTGTTAGACCATCTAATGAAGGACTATTAGCCCATCTAATGAAGGACTATTAGACCATCTAATGAAGGACTGTTAGACCATCTAATGAAGGACTGTTAGCCCATCTAATGAAGGACTGTTAGACCATCTAATGAAGGACTATTAGACCATCTAATGAAGGACTATTAGCCCATCTAATGAAGGACTATTAGACCATCTAATGAAGGACTATTAGACCATCTAATGAAGGACTATTAGACCATCTAATGAAGGACTGTTAGACCATCTAATGAAGGACTATTAGCCCATCTAATGAAGGACTGTTAGCCCATCTAATGAAGGACTGTTAGACCATCTAATGTAGGACTGTTAGACCATCTAATGAAGGACTATTAGACCATCTAATGAAGGACTGTTAGACCATCTAATGAAGGACTGTTAGCCCATCTAATGAAGGACTGTTAGCCCATCTAATGAAGGACTGTTAGCCCATCTAATGAAGGACTGTTAGACCATCTAATGAAGGACTGTTAGCCCATCTAATGAAGGACTGTTAGCCCATCTAATGAAGGACTGTTAGACCATCTAATGAAGGACTGTTAGCCCATCTAATGAAGGACTATTAGACCATCTAATGAAGGACTGTTAGACCATCTAATGAAGGACTGTTAGCCCATCTAATGAAGGACTGTTAGACCATCTAATGAAGGACTGTTAGCTCATCTAAAGAAGGACTGTTAGCTCATCTAATGAAGGACTGTTAGCCCATCTAATGAAGGACTATTAGCCCATCTAATGAAGGACTGTTAGCCCATCTAATGAAGGACTGTTAGCCCATCTAATGAAGGACTGTTAGCCCATCTAATGAAGGACTGTTAGACCATCTAATGAAGGACTGTTAGCCCATCTAATGAAGGACTATTAGACCATCTAATGAAGGACTGTTAGCCCATCTAATGAAGGACTGTTAGCCCATCTAATGAAGGACTGTTAGCCCATCTAATGAAGGACTATTAGCCCATCTAATGAAGGACTGTTAGACCATGTAATGAAGGACTGTTAGCCCATCTAATGAAGGACTGTTAGCCCATCTAATGAAGGACTGTTAGACGATCTAATGAAGGACTGTTAGCCCATCTAATGAAGGACTATTAGACTATCTAATGAAGGACTATTAGACCATCTAATGAAGGACTGTTAGACCATCTAATGAAGGACTGTTAGCCCATCTAATGAAGGACTATTAGCCCATCTAATGAAGGACTATTAGCCCATCTAATGAAGGACTATTAGCCCATCTAATGAAGGACTGTTAGACCATCTAATGAAGGACTATTAGCCCATCTAATGAAGGACTATTAGCCCATCTAATGAAGGATTGTTAGCCCATCTAATGAAGGACTGTTAGCCCATCTAATGAAGGACTATTAGCCCATCTAATGAAGGACTGTTAGCCCATCTAATGAAGGACTGTTAGACCATGTAATGAAGGACTGTTAGCCCATCTAATGAAGGACTGTTAGACCATGTAATGAAGGACTGTTAGCCCATCTAATGAAGGACTGTTAGCCCATCTAATGAAGGACTATTAGCCCATCTAATGAAGGACTGTTTGACCATGTAATGAAGGACTGTTAGCCCATCTAATGAAGGACTGTTAGACCATCTAATGAAGGACTGTTAGCCCATCTAATGAAGGACTGTTAGCCCATGTAATGAAGGTCTGTTAGCCCATCTAATGAAGGACTGTTAGCCCATCTAATGAAGGACTGTTAGACCATCTAATGAAGGACCGTTAGCCCATCTAATGAAGGACTGTTAGACCATGTAATGAAGGACTGTTAGCCCATCTAATGAAGGACTGTTAGACCATCTAATGAAGGACTGTTAGCCCATCTAATGAAGGACTGTTAGCCCATCTAATGAAGGACTGTTAGCCCATCTAATGAAGGACTGTTAGCCCATCTAATGAAGGACTGTTAGCCCATCTAATGAAGGACTGTTAGCCCATCTAATGAAGGACTGTTAGCCCATCTAATGAAGGACTGTTAGACCATCTAATGAAGGACTATTAGCCCATCTAATGAAGGACTATTAGCCCATCTAATGAAGGACTGTTAGCCCATCTAATGAAGGACTGTTAGCCCATCTAATGAAGGACTGTTAGCCCATCTAATGAAGGACTGTTAGACCATCTAATGAAGGACTGTTAGCCCATCTAATGAAGGACTGTTAGCCCATCTAATGAAGGACTGTTAGTCCATCTAATGAAGGACTATTAGACCATCTAATGAAGGACTGTTAGCCCATCTAATGAAGGACTATTATAATGAGAGAGTATTAGTCTTGCTCTGGAATAAAGCATGTTCTCTGTGTGTCTCCAGCTTTGGTTGTCGGACTCGGAGACGCCGCATCTTCTGCCTCCTCGATGCTCCGGCTCTGTGTGGAATCAGCTGGACATAAGCACTGAGACGAACACATTCCCGGACGTGCAGATCTCCATCCCTGAGGATCAGGACACCAGCGTTCCCAGCCGGCACGGCAGCGGAGACTCCGGCTTCAACTCCACAGAGGAGGACTCCAGTGTCCGGCTGCTCAGCTCCACACGACACGACACACACACTGACACACACACCGACACACACACTGACCACAGGTGCAAGACAGACACGCAGCACAGGGAAGAGATGCATGATGGGACGCTGGAGATCTGCTCTTAACACCACAAACACATCACAGTCAAACAGACACGACTTAGTTTAGACTTGTTTTTCTCCATTCAAATCATCTTATTGTACATGTGACCGCAGCACTGTGTAAATGCAAAACCTTTGTGTGTTTGTCATTTCAGCCATATTTTCATTTCTGTATTTAAAGCATGCAGATTCTTTATGATTCTTATAGAATCTTTATTAATCCATTTGTTAGCTTTACACTCATCTCCACCCAATGTCAGATTAAAATACTCTATCATGCGCAGTTTCCTTGTTCTTCTTCAGATTCTGTCACTAGGAAGTGTTTGTTAAAACCCTGTTCCTGTTGTTTACATGCATATTTGCTCCAGGAAGAATTTATTCATTCAACTGTTTGTCTATTTTTACTCTTATTGCATTTGTTTGTAATTATAATAACAGCCTGAGGCTCTACAGCACGTGGAGAACGGCATCGATTTTGCATGCATTGATGCAAAATCACCAATGCATCAACCACAGTGGACATACTAACGGAAATTCTAATTATTAGGTTACTTTTAGAGGTCACAGCAAGATGTTATCAAGTGAACGTAATTTATCAGATTACCTCATTTAAACCGATTTCTCCACCACTGTCCTGCGGGTTTGTGTCCGGGAAACAACACACAAACTCACAGAAAGAGCGTGAGAGAGAGGCACACTCTGGATCTCCAATGTTATATAGACAAATGTGCAATGAATGAATGCTTTTCTTACTTAGCATTTTTGCCTTGTGGTTTCCAGTCAAAATATCTAAAGATTCTTAAATCAAGATGCATTTACTAAAAGAAAAACTCTGGGTTTACATAAGAAAACCTGCTCCCGACCAGGTGTGGTTCACAGAGTAAGTTACCATGGTAACTGACTCCGAGTATAAGTTACCTCTCTTTCAGAAACGGGCTTGACTTAAGCCGCGTTTCCACCGCAGGAACTTTCCCCAGGAACTAGGAACTTTGGGGTGGTACTCCGTGTGTTTACACTGCAGGAACCAGGGTCTAAATGAAGTTCCGGGTAAAAATTTCCCCCCCAGAAAGTCCCTGCTGGCGAGGTAGTACTTTTTCAGAGTTCAGGAACTTTCGGGGTGGGACTTGTGCGCTGAACATGCTGATTGGTTATTTTACCTTGTTCTCTCTGCCGGATGGCGCGCGTTCGTCTACGCGCAGACTGGGAGGAGCAGTCGCACGCAGTTCAACGTCACCAGACTAATCTTCCCGGTACTTTAGTCCACGGTGTAAACGCAGTGAGCAACCGTTCTGGGGCAAAAAAAGTTCCTATGAAAAAAGTTCCTGGGACAAATAGTTCCTGGTAATTGCGGTGGAAACGCGGCTTTACTCAGCTTTCTCTAACCATTCCTCCCATTCTGACACGGAAAACCCAGAGTTTCCCTCATTTCAGGGTTAACATACTCAGAGTTTTCACTTAACCTCCTTTCTCAAACAGGCCCCTGTTCTTTCTTTTGATATGTTGTATGTTAAGATATTTATACAACAAAATATATGTTCAAAATATTTTAAGGGCCATGACATTTTTGTGAAAATTATCAAAAATGCTGGTAGTAGCTGGTAACTTTTCTAAATAATACATTTTAAAAAGCTGGCGTGGAAAGAGTTAACTGGAATCCATGCGCTGGTGCGAAAGCATATCGCAGGGTTCCCACGTTGTCTGAAAAAGTCTTATTTTTATTTATTAGAGGTCTTAAATTTTAGATGACACTTTGACTTAGTTTTCATTCGGTAAAGTATTAATATATATATATCTAATTAGAGTTATATAATTTTTAGTATCTTTCTTTGTGGATTTGCTTGTTCACGTGACAGTTCGCGGTATTTACGTCGGCAGCGTATTACGTCCGTCTCCTGCTTGCGAAAGGAAGACCGGAGAAGAAAATGGGTAAATGCAAGTTCAGTGCGATTTGGCTCCAAGATGTGAAGTACAGAGAATGATTAAGTGGTGGAAGAAACGAGTTTGAGGCGACGTGCCAAAAAACCTTTCAAACTTGGGACGATGGGAATTCACGAGTTTACACTTACATCAATTAAACGGAGTAAAGATTATGCGTATTTGGCGTGCTGTCCAGGGGGAGGGCTCGGAGTTCGGCCCGAACCCAGAGTACTCCCCCAGACCCCCAGAAGGCCAAAAGAGCAAAGGACAGCCGCCAGACTAAAGACCCCTAAAACGCAGAGATCTGGCGGGCTGGCGTTTGGAGAATAAGCCTGGGTGCTTGACCAGGAAGGCTTGCTGGCTCACGAACGGGGAGCAGTCGTAATTTTGAACCACCAGTTGGGAGAGCCTGCGGCGTTTCTTGACAGGAGCAGCTCACGGCGTCAGACCCTAACCCTACCGGCCAATGAACGAGGAACAGCGTGATTTATGCCGCCTGACCAGGAGACCAATGCTCGCTGGACGGAGAAAGAGGAAACATAGATGCATGCAACGTCCGCTGAGAGATCAATGCTCGCTGGACAGAGAAAGAGGCATCAAGTAGGGGTTTTAATGGGAATATGAATTCTGAATGGAGAGGTACTGGAGAGGAGACGTCACTGCTGCGGCAGTGGAGAAACTTACCTGGAGAAGTTGAGCTCCTGGTGTGAGGCTGAGCGAAGGGGGGAAGAGATTGGGGCGATGCTCGTCTTCTTGCGCGTTAATCAAAGACGCGAGGAATAGGAAGTGAGAGATTAAATCCTTGCAGGATTATGCGCATCTAAAGTATAAGTGGCCAAGCAAAGATAGCAGTTCGCGTTTAGAACAGTTTAGACGGTCTGGGAAGGTGGACGAGATCAGAAATATCCTATCGATTTTTCCTTGTGCAGTGAGGCCTGGAAATCAGCTGTATCCAAGTTAATGCCCAGAATTCAGTGGACGAGGCTGAACCCATGGTTTTAACCCGAGCTCAGCAGAAACTGTGCGGGGCTGAGAGATCGATTATTAAATGGGGTGGTGATGGCGCAGTGGATAAGACACATGCCTTTGGTGTGAGAGACCCGGGTTCAAATCCACTGTGAGACACCAATGTGTCCCTGAGCAAGACACTTAACCCCTAGCTGCTCCAGAGGCATGTGACCTCTGACATGTATAGCAATTGTAAGTCGCTTTGGATAAAAGCGTCGGCTAAATGAATAAATGTAAATGTTTTTAACGTAACGTGAACGTTTTTTGTTCTTATTTTCTCCGTTTTTTTTCATTGGTTTCTCAAAGTGATAGCATGTGCTTAAATGATGAGAAGACTAAAACGTTTCAGAACCTGCGTATATTCACCTCTGACACATCGGTTTGATTCTGTAATCATTGTTTGTTGGATGATCATCAAACAGCAAAGTACAGTCTGATTTAGATGATTGTTCAGTCATTTATCCGTTGTTGGTTTGAGTGGCACACGCGTATTCATTTAGTCGAGTTCAAAAGAGACAACTTATGGTAAAAGAAAAAGCTTTGCATAAATTTGTGCGCCTTAAATTTATTTAATTGTGTTGGACAATCACTTAAAGGATCACTAAACTTTTGGCGTGAAACAAACTGCTTGTATTTTTTTTATTATTTTTTTTATTATTACTTTCTAAGTTGGAGTTGACCCGGCAGATGTTGAGTGTGTGGACGGGACTGAATCTTACTGAGCTTACTGAGGCTGCGAGGCGGCTTACTGAGGGCCCGCTGCGGGGCGGCTTACTGAGGGCCCGCTGCGAGGCGGCTTACTGAGGGCCCGCTGCGAGGCGGCTTACTGAGGGCCCGCTGCAGGGCGGCTTACTGAGGGCCCGCTGCGAGGCGGCTTACTGAGGGCCCGCTGCGAGGCGGCTTACTGAGGGCCCGCTGCGAGGCGGCTTACTGAGGGCCCGCTGCGAGGCGGCTTACTGAGGGCCCGCTGCGAGGCGGCTTACTGAGGGCCCGCTGCGGGGCGGCTTACTGAGGGCCCGCTGCGGGGCGGCTTACTGAGGGCCCGCTGCGAGGCGGCTTACTGAGGGCCCGCTGCGAGGCGGCTTACTGAGGGCCCGCTGCGAGGCGGCTTACTGAGGGCCCGCTGCGGGGCGGCCTACTGAGGGCCCGCTGCGAGGCGGCTTACTGAGGGCCCGCTGCGAGGCGGCTTACTGAGGGCCCGCTGCGGGGCGGCTTACTGAGGGCCCGCTGCGGGGCGGCTTACTGAGGGCCCGCTGCGAGGCGGCTTACTGAGGGCCCGCTGCGAGGCGGCTTACTGAGGGCCCGCTGCGAGGCGGCTTACTGAGGGCCCGCTGCGGGGCGGCCTACTGAGGGCCCGCTGCGAGGCGGCTTACTGAGGGCCCGCTGCGGGGCGGCTTACTGAGGGCCCGCTGCGGGGCGGCTTACTGAGGGCCCGCTGCGGGGCGGCTTACTGAGGGCCCGCTGCGGGGCGGCTTACTGAGGGCCCGCTGCGGGGCGGCTTACTGAGGGCACAGGTGTTCAGGTGTTTCACAGGCTGGGAATGTTGAATCAGGGTGTTCAGGTGTTTCACAAGCTGGTAATGTTGAATCATGGTGTTCAGGTGTTTCACAGGCTGGTCATGTTGGATCATGGTGTTCAGGTGTTTCACAGGCTGGTAATGTTGGATCAGGGTGTTCAGGTGTTTCAGAGGCTGGTAATGTTGAATCATGGTGTTCAGGTGTTTCACAGGCTGGTAATGTTGGATCATGGTGTTCAGGTGTTTCACGGGCTGGTAATGTTGAATCAGGGTGTTCAGGTGTTTCACGGGCTGGTAATGTTGAATCAGGGTGTTCAGGTGTTTCACAGGCTGGTAATGTTGAATCAGGGTGTTCAGGTGTTTCACAGGCTGGTAATGTTGAATCATGGTGTTCAGGTGTTTCACAGGCTGGTAATGTTGGATCATGGTGTTCAGGTGTTTCACAGGCTGGTAATGTTGAATCAGGGTGTTCAGGTGTTTCACAGGCTGGTAATGTTGGATCAGGGTGTTCAGGTGTTTCACAGGCTGGTAATGTTGGATCATGGTGTTCAGGTGTTTCACAGGCTGGTAATGTTGGATCAGGGTGTTCAGGTGTTTCAGAGGCTGGTAATGTTGAATCATGGTGCTCAGGTGTTTCACAGGCTGGTAATGTTGGATCATGGTGTTCAGGTGTTTCACAGGCTGGTAATATTGGATCAGGGTGTTCAGGTGTTTCACAGGCTGGTAATGTTGGATCAGGGTGTTCAGGTGTTTCACAGGCTGGTCATGTTGGATCAGGGTGTTCAAGTGTTTCACAGGCTGGTAATGTTGGATCAGGGTGTTTAGGTGTTTCACAGG